GATGTTGAAAATATTAAACTCAACAGTCATGTTGCCAAATGAGATATTCATGAGTCCATTCCTACAATTAATATTTGCATTACATGTGGCAAGGAATGGACGGCCTAAGATGACTGGAATTTGTTTTTGTCCTGAAGGAACAGGTTGTGTATCTAGGATAATGAAATCTACAGGAAAGTAGAATTTATCAACTTTGATCAAAACATCTTCAACAATGCCTCTAGGGATTTTCACAGATCTGTCAGCTAAAGAGAGAGATACCCGAGTTGGTTTAATCTCTCCTAAGCCTAATTGCTTATACATTGAGTATGGCAATAAATTCACACTTGCCCCTAAGTCTAACAAAGCCGTTTCAATATGGTGATCACCTATCATGCAAGCAATGGTAGGACAACCGGGGTCCTTGTACTTGATAGGAATCCTATTCTCTATGATGGAACTGATATGCTCAGTTAGAAAGGCTTTCTTTGAAACATTTGTCTTCCTCTTGAATGTACAAAGATCTTTTAAGAACTTAGCATAGGAAGGAATTTGATTGATTGCATCTAGGAATGGGATGTTGATTTGAACTTGCTTAAACACCTCTAGGATATCACCAAACTGTGCACTCTTCTTTGAATTTGCTAACCGGTGAGGAAATGGAGCTTTTGAAATGAAATTCCTAGGTGGATCAAATGGAGTTGATGATAATGCATGAGGATGACTCTCATTAGACTTTTGTGTTTCTACATCTATTAACTCATTCTTATCACTCAAGTGTGGCTCTAAATCTTGATTACCAATATGTTTCCCAGATCTAAGAGTGGTGATGGATTGAACATGTTCATTAGAATTTGGAGAACTTGATGGGTTATTAATCACAAACTGACCTTTTGGATTCGGCACAGTCTGACTAGGAAACTTACCTTTCTCTCTCTCTCCCACAACAGTTGCTAACTGGCCTATTTGTTGTTCTAACTTCGAAATGGCTTGAGTATTTTGTTGGGTGGAAGCTTTGACATCATTAATAGCCTGACCAGTTAATTGCATGAACTTTTGGATTGAATCCTCCAAAGAAGATGATTGTTGTTGCTGTGTTGCAACAAACTGTGGAGTGGGCTGAGGGACAGGAGGTTGACATAACTGATTATTTTGAGATGGGTTTCCTCCAGAATTTTGAGGTTGATTTGACCTCCAAGAGAAATTTGGGTGATTCCTCCAATTTGGATTGTATGTTTCAGAAAATGGACTAGGAAACTGGTTCCTATAATAATTGAGTGCATTTGCCTGTTCATTGTTCTCAGCATAACCATGACTAGAAGGACATGTTTGTTCTGAATGCGTTGGGCTACAACACAAAGAGCAAATCTCAGTGTGGATTTTGTTGACAGAGTTCATGTTTTGGCTCAATGCTAGAGCCTCAACTTTACGGGTCAAACTCTCTATTTTAATCCCGAGATCAGAATCGCTTCTGACTTCATACATCCCTCCTTTCTTAGGTTCCCTAATTTGCTTATCAAGGGTGTTGGAAAAATCCCATTGTTGAGAATTCACGGATAAGTTCTCAAGGAATTCATAAGCTGCAACTTCCCTAAGTTGTAAGAAAGCTCCTCTATTCATAGATTCAATCATATTGCGACTAGTCTGAGTTAGCCCATTGTAGAAGGATTGAACCAATCGCCATTTTTCAAAACCATGGTGGGGACATTTAAGAGTAAGGTCTTTGAACCTTTCCCAACTTTCGTAAAATTGTTCGCTTTCACTTTGTCTAAACTCAGAAATTTCTCTCCTAAGCCCATTGGTTTTAGACATAGGGGAAAAATTTTGACAAGAATTTTTGTACAAGTTGGTCCCAAGAAGTTATGGAACCAGAAGGAAGGGAATTGAGCCATGACTTGGCCTTATCTTTCAAAGAGAATGGGAAGAGACGGAGTCGGACACTTTCATCAGAAAAGTTCTGAAATTTGAATGTTGAACAAATTTCAAGAAAATCTTTGACATGCAGGTAAGGATCCTCTCGGTCTAAACCATGGAAATTGGGCAAGAGTTGAATGACTTGAGTTCTCAACTCAAAGCTGGTTGCATTGGTGTTAGGTAACACTATGCAAGATGGGGAATTAGTGGTGACAGGAGCAAAGCACTCCAAGAGAGTTCTTTCTGGCTCAGCTTCTGCCATCTCAAACAAAGGGTTGGTTATCACAATCCTAGGTTTTCGTTCTTCCCTAAGCGTCCTTTCAATTTCTGGGTTGAAAGGTTCTAAGTTTAAATTTTGAGAACGACGACCAAACATAAAATACACAAGAAAATACAAAAATAACCACACAAATAAATAAGCAAAAATTATAGGTTTATTTATTTATTTATTTAAAAGCTCTAAACAAATCCTCCTCTTAAGAGCAAACTTAAGGATGACCAGTTAAAGGCTTCCAAAAATTACAGCCAGGTCTTTTCCGGGAAGGGTGGAGGGGTCACAATGGTCCCACTTAAAACCCAGTCCTTCTTAAACACCGAAGGTGCCTCCTTAAAGAACTTTCCTAGACACTGTAATATTTAGAAGTTTATTCACTGGAGTTACCACAAGTTAATGTCTTTCAAGAAGGGCCTATAAGTTTTAAATTTACTAATTTACTTATATGCGAGAAAAACAAAAATAAAACAAAAAGAAAATTCAAGCAAGAATTTTAAAAGAATAGTTAGAATTTTCTTACCAGGTGTCCAAGACGCACCTTAAATTTTCACTCCTCCAATAAAATTTTATGATACCTGTAAAAACAAGCACACAAATTGACATAAAGAAAAAGAAATTAACTTTCTTAAAATAAAATAAAATAAAATATGAAACTTCTTCCAAGTCCAAAGCTGCACCAAAAGAAGCTTTAATGATATAACTGAAACAAAGATATGAAAAATTAATACACAATGATATTACAATATGAACAAGAGAATTAACAAAATCAATTTTTCTTTTTTTCTTTTTTTTAAAAGTTTTATATATATTACAAAATTAAATTATAACTAGTGGAAGAATTTAATTAACCAAAATATGATTAGTTTTCCGTTGCAATCCCCGGCAACGGCGCCAAAAACTTGTTGTGCCTCAAAAGAGGTTTCTTTTAAAAGTTATAAACTCGCAAGCGCACGAATCGAATATAGCATAAGCGTGTAAGAGCGAGATCGTACCCAAGGGATTGCGTGTAAAGATAGAAAACCAATTATACCCAAGTTAATTTCATTGCCAACCTAGTTGATTCAAATGGTGATTTGTTTGTTGATAAAGAAAATTAAATAAAGCATAAAACAAATATGGAAATGACAATAAACTGAAATTAAGATTTAAACTTATAAGAAAAATAACTAAGGTATTGGAATCCACACCATCATTCCATAAGATCCTAATTATTTATCTTTCAATTCCCATGGAGTAGCAATCTAGAAATCAATCTACTGCTTATAAGTAAATTTTCCTTCCCTTCATAAGTACAAATTCTAAGCATAAAATGTAAACAAAATTATTTAACTACAAAGGATCAAAGTTTCCTAAGCATCCTATGTGAAAAAAGTTTATTTGAATAACAAAATATCAAAGAAATTTGTAAATTAGAAATAAAAACCAAGGGTGAATTAATAGATTAATCCAAACTCTTAACTACCACAAATACATGTTATATGTCACAATACATGATAGAAGTGGTGAAAAGAAGATTAATCTATTAATCATGTGAAGTGAAAATTATAATCATTGAACACCACAATATTTGAGAATTGAAAATAAAAACTAGAACTCTATTTAATAATGGTGTTTCATCCAACCTTAGTTAAGTATTTTAGTTAGACATAATTAAGAATTAAAACAAAACAAAGAAACTAAAATACATGAATTAAATGAGAACTAGGAAAGGTGACGAACAATTTTAAGAGAGTTATTAGCTCTCGGTTCTTTCCTTTCCATCCTTGTTCTCTTTCTTTCTCACTTTCTCTCTCTCTTTCTCTCTTCCTTTCTTTCCTTCCTTTCTTTCCTTCCTTCTGCCGTGTATCACTCTTGAAATTTCCTCCACACTATATTCTTTGAGTTGCTGCCTATTTATAGAAGCATGAAGTCCCTTTCATTCCAGCTGTATGTGCAATCTGTCCCTCATGAACCTGTCTTGGTGTTTGACAGCCTGTGGATTGAGTTTTTATCCAATTGCTCCAATTTTTGGATATGTTTTAGTCGACATCTTATTGAACAAGTGTCATGAAGGATATTTATTCATTTGAGCATGGGAGAATTCA